ATTTGCTCTCCCCCCTCCCAACATTAAAAAGGGGGCACCCAATCCCCAAACACCCCCCCCCCAGACACAGGGGAGGGGATAATTCTGGGAGTTGAAGTCCACACATCTTAAAAGTTGCCAAGGTTGAGAAACACTGCATTATACAAACAAATGCAAAAAGAATAGTAACATACATAAATTATATTGATTAAAAAGGCCATTATCTTTATGTGTGTTCAAAATAATTCACTAATAGCCTCAAGTTACAGATGGGAGCAGTAAAAAAAAAATGTAGAAAAAAAGACCTTTTTCATTTTCATTTCATTTGATAGCAACTGATACCAAAGGCAACTCTGTTATGAGCAGGAAGGTAGTTTTTTTTACAATAAATATGACCATATCTTACTAGGGCCATGTAGTTTGTCCTTCCCTCCATTGTAAACGAAAATAAAAACAAAAGACAAAATGAGGCACAGAATGGCTCTTTTTATTAAGATTGTTATCATTTGTGTGTGTTGCAAGACATTTTATTCTTGGCTGGTGTGGGTCTTCCGGGCTGTTGTGTTGCAAGACATTTTATTCTTGCTTGTATTATTTCTGTTGGTACGGTGCCCTTGAAAGAGGAATGTTCCCAAACACTTCAGGATGAATCTTTTTTTTTTTTTTTAAATTGATGCTTGGGATTTCTCCCTCATAGCTAAGAGAACCAGATTAGAGGCTGAAGCTGCAACCCATGGATCAGCCTTTATTCTTTTAAAATCCACAGGATGGAGCTGAAACAAAAGGGGGGGGCAGGGATGGAGGGGAAACACAGACGCAGTAACTGAGGAAATTTAATTTGAGCCCTTGAAGGCATGGAGGCATTGTGCTTTTGCAAAAGGCTTGCGGGGGGGGGGGGGTATTTAGTTACTCTTTAATTTTAAGGGGCTGAATTTTTGGAACCTTCCATTTTTGTGCTAAAGATGCCGGACACGCGAATTCGACGACCCAAAGCGTACGGAGCGTTGCCTTTCTTTTTCACCCGGCCGCGTCTTCCCAACAAATACGTGACGCTGCTGCTTCTACGAGAGACCTTGGCTAGCACAATACTGTAACCTCACCCCCTGCGCATAAAGACAAACCCGCGAGTCAGGCTGAGCCTCCCCTCGAGCCTCATTCGCAGCGGGTATCGCTCCCGAACCACACTGGAGGGTTGTTGTGAGCGGTTTCCTCTCGGGAGCCCGGGACAACGCCCAAGGCGCGACGCTCCCCTTCCTCGCCGCTGGAGAAAAGCGGGACGTGCAGGAAATGGAACGTCTAAGAATTGTGGGACCGTTCGATCGACGCCAGGGTTTGGGGGCGTTGGATTGGCTGAGGCGAGAGCGCAGCCTTTGGTGATTGGCCACTTCCCCGAGAGAGCCCGGAAACATTGTTTCTCGGGCGGCTTTCGAGGTTTCGGGACGGAGGCGGGAGAGCGAGGTTGGATGGATGTCAGGAAGAGGGAACGCGTCGCGGCCGCGAGCAACGGGCTGGAGGGATGTCTGACTCTTGCGATCCGAGGTTGCTGGTAGGTGGGGGAAGCTGACGCAGGCGGGGGGCTTCTGTCTGCATCCACCCTGGGGAGGGGGGCGCGTGCCTGGAGGGTCTCTGCGATTCCTCTGTCATGGAAGAGGGGTCGTAAAAACCTCTTCAACAAACGTCATGCAGGTCTTCAGCCCTTTGCGCGATGCGTCCTGAAGCGAGGAGCTGCGCGCTAGCGTTCCCTTATGCCAGTGTTGTCCAAACTTGGCCACTTTAAGATGAGTGGACTTCAACTCCCAGAATTCCCCAGCCAGCATTCTGGGGTATTGGGTCCAAGCGAGGAGCTGCGCGCTAGCGTTCCCTTATGCCAGTGTTGTCCAAACTTGGCCACTTTAAGATGAGTGGACTTCAACTCCCAGAATTCCCCAGCCAGCATTCTGGGGTATTGGGTCCAATGCAGTTTGGGAAGTTTATTTTTTCAAGGCATTATAACAGTGTTTCTCAATCTTGGCCACTTTAAGATGTGTGGACCAAACTCCCAGAATTCCCCAGCCAGCATGGCTGGCTGGGGAATTCTGGGAGTTTGGTCCACACATCTTAAAGTGGCCAAGATTGAGAAACACTGTTATAATGACTTGAAAAAATAAACTTCCCAAACTGCATTGGACCCAATACCCCAGAATGCTGGCTGGGGAATTCTGGGAGTTGAAGTCCACTCATCTTAAAGCGGCCAAGTTTGGACAACACTGCCTTTAAGATCCGGGAGATCCAGAGACAAATGGAGCTACTTTTTTTTAATCGTCAGGTGCAAAAAGATGCATTCTTGATGCACATCACCATCATCCTGTTACTGGACTTCAAAGGCTTAGTTTTAAAAAACCAGCAGCTCCTGGAAGGGTGTAGCTTTTCCACCTCCGCTCCGCTGGATGATCTTGAAATTGCAACCCAGGTGTTCTCTTGAAAATCGAGACAGGCACTTAGTAAATAAAATGATCCGTTGATGCGCTACAGTGTCACTGAAGGAGTGGTTGCTCTTCTCACAGTCATGCCTCAGCCACCGGTCGGTTGGACTACTGCAACGTACTCTACGTGGGGCTGCCCTTGAAGAGTATTCGGAAGCTATCACTGATCCAGGATGTGGCAGCTTGAGGAACGGACTTGCCCCCCCCGCCCCATTCACCCACTGGAACATCCAATTCGCCCATATATCACCAATATTTCAAGAGCTGCGGCGGTTGCCAATTGCAGTTCAAGGTGCTGGTTGTTAGCTTTAAAGCCCTTCATGGCTCAGGACATGGGTGTCTGCGGGGCCACCTACTGTGAACTGTATCTGTCAGTCCAACCAGAGCTGCTAGAGTGAGCTTCTTTCAAGTCCCTTCACTCACAGAATGCCATCTCCAGGGACCATGAAAGACCCTTCTTAGTAATGGCCCTCTTTTGTGGAACAGCTTTCCCCGAATATTTGGATGGCCCCTTCTGATTTTAAGGAAATCCTTTAAAATAGGGATAATAGAGGCTGGGATAGTGTGATCTTGTTCTCTTTGGTAGTGGTAGATCTCTTGATTTTTCATTATATTAAAGAACTTTCCTGATGCTGTCTGCAGGTTGTGTGATATTATTGATTTGTTTTCTTTTTATTGTATGGCTTTTACCCCAATTTATGGAGGTTGGGGTGTAGGCCACTCAGAATTGTTCATGCCCAGTAAAATAAAATATAAATAAATATATATTTTTAAAAAAAGATTTCCTATATTTTCCCTGATTGCAGCTGGCCTTTTAAACAATTCCACTCTTATTCATCCGTAGAATCATGGCAGGAGCTATATACTTTCTTTAAAATAACACTGGGAAGGTTACAGAAATTACCCACCAATACAGATGGTTTTTAAAAAGCAGGAAGCCAATGGTTTCATCGTTTCCCTTTATGCTTTTGGAGATCACCATGTAAGCAAGGTTGGTAAACCCAGCTGCTGTAGAATGATAACAGAAAGAGGATCTGGTGTCCTTCCATTCTTGTTTGGGAACTTACTTGCACAAGTGAGTAAAATCAAGCTGCAAGCCTCTGTTGCAGGGCGTGTTATGGAAATATGGGGTCTGTATGGGTGGATTTGGGATCTTGGCCACTGTGGGACTCTGAATGCTGGACTGAAATGGTCTTTGGCTTGATCCAGGAAAGCTCTTTTTACATATCGATGCTTTTGGAAATCCGTGCATCAAAGCCCAACCCCCATTGTGTGGTGCACATTGTTTGGACATCAGAGCGAAATTAAGCAATGTACTGCGGTTGTAGGAAGGATTTCACCAGCAGACATGGAAAGATGAGGTATGTCTTGGCTAACTGGCTTAAAATAGCCTCTGATCTGGCTGTGCTATGTTGAATGTCTGCAAGGGAGCCTAGAAAGCATTTCTAGTATTGCTGTGATTGAAGTAGCATCTCTTTTCTTTTCAGAATCCTGTGACTTTTGAAGATGTGGCTGTGTATTTTACAAAGGGTCAGGGGGCTTTGCTAGATGCACATCAAAAGGCCTTGTACAGGGATGTTATGGTGGAAAACTACAGGAATGTGATCTCCTTAGGTAAGAAACCTGCCTGCAGATTGGGGAAGAGCTAGAAGATTTGCTATTTTTCCGTCTGCTGCTTCTATCATGCTCTGTGTGGTGCACGATTGCTTAACTTAATTTATGCCCAAACTGGGCAGAATGATCAGGTTCGCGCTGCAGATTTGTGAGAGAGAAATATTGCATAACGTTTGGATGCAATTCACCGCCCTTTTAGTAAAAAGCAAATGAGTGAAAAAAATGTCAGAAGCAGTGCGTCTTCTAAACTAATCCTACTGATTCTCCCATTTGTTCATTCTGTCATTCCGAGGCACATCTTCCAAAGTGAATGGGAGGCACACTGGAGAAAATAAACGTGTGCATGTGAACTGTCCCTTGGTTGTGGAGGGAGTCTTCTCATTCTAGCTCTATAGGACTGGAGCTTTTATAAGCCTGTGGCTTCGTACCTTAACAGAATCCTTCTAAAGAATCCAAGAGAATCTCTCTTTAAGCAAATGAAGATCATGCTGTGCCCACACAGGCCCTCCTATTTCTGATCGGTTCCTTCACTTGTTCACAAATTGGTTTGGGGGAATCCACTCATTTTCAGGAGTCCAGTGCACACTAGGTCTTGCAGAGAACTTCTGTGGTTTTTAGATTGCAGTTCAGCTCAAGCACAAGGTCTTCAGCTTCCTTATCACTTTCTTTCAGCATATAGCTTTCTTTTCTTAAATGCTCGTGACATTAAGTTTGGACACTTAACTCCAAACTCTGGCATTTACTGATATTTATTACAGCCAATTATTATATAATCTAGGACTTTCATACATTTCCCTGGCTCATTTATCATTTACATAATAATAATTTTTAATGAATGCTAGTTCTAAAAATAGTAATGAATGTAACTTGTTCTAGAAATTGCAAAATAACAACATTAATTGTACTCTAGTCCAAGTCACTGTATCTGCACTGTATTTTTGAGATGACCCTTTTGCTTCTTCAAAAATTGGTCTAGTTTGTTTCATAAGTTTCCTAGAATTATAGAGTTAGAAAGGACCTGTAATGGGCTGTGAGAATAACCTTGAGGAACAGGAGGAAGAGCCCCAGCCAAGACAAAGGTCAGATAACAGAAATCTGAGTCCAAAGCAGGAATGTAATTTGAGAAAACGTCTCAGACTTGACCCTCCCTAGTTCTCTTTAGAGTAAAGGTAGGGAGCGGGGAGATGCACTCAAACTTGCAAGATTCAGTTACTGTAATAATAGCTACCCTAATAAAAGTAGTTTTAGGATTCATAACTTTGGTGTCCAAGTCTGGTCTACTTCAAAGGGCTGACAGGACCACAAGATCATCAACTCTCTGTAATGTACAGCCTTCTCTTAAAAACTTTCAAAGATGGAGAACTCACAGCCCCCATAAGTAGACTGTTCCACTGTTGTACAGATCTTACTATCAGGAAGTTTTTCTTTACATTTACACAAAATCTAGGTAGCTTCAGCTTATACCTGTTATTTCTTGTCCTGATTTCTATGGTGACGGAAAATAGTTTCTTTCAGCAATTCCAAGCCCGTAGATTATGGCACAACCTAATTTCCTTTTCATAACAAGGATCTGTGACAAGTTAGGTTTGAGACAATTCTTTTGGTCTTCAGCATCATCATTACTGTGCCTGCCCCTTTTGCATATAAAGGGAGGAATTGTGGTAACAGGAATCAGATTCTTCAGCCCATTATTCTTCCTGATGCTAATAGAGGGAGCAAGTCAGAATGGATGAAAAGTCTATGCAACAGTAACATGGGCAGCAATCTTTCCCAACTCCAATCTCTTAGTTTTTCCAGCTGTTTTCTCTGGATATTATTCTGCTTCCTTGGGTAAGTCCTTCTGAGGGAAAAGTTGGGAAGAAGGAAGAACCATTTGGACCCTATCTTGGTGCAAGTCTTTTCCAACCTGGTGACCTCAAGAACAAGCTAGTTGGTTGGGAAGTCTGGGGTTTGTAGTTCCAGCACATCTGGAGGGTGCCAGGCTGGGAAAGATGCAGGAGACATGCTTTTTTCCCACATAACCCAACTTAGAGTTTTCTGACCCTCTGTGTGTATTTGAGCACAGAAAACATGGAGGAATGATTGTCTTGTTTTCTCATTCCACTGCCATTATATATATTACGACCGTAGTGACAAATGCCTGCCTTGCAATGTTGTGCAGTTTAGAGACTTCTCAGATGTTCTTGCTTTTATAACAGTTTCTCATTTTCCTAATGAGATTATGAGGCTGTGGATGATCAGATGCTGGGAAGTACCTCCTTCCCTTCTGTTCTGGTTGCAAAAAGCAGTTGCAAAATTGAGCTCTAGAAGAGTTTGGGGAAGGCTGTTGATCAGTTTAGAACCTCAGCTACATCCATTATATTTCTTATACCCTTCTTTTCCTCAAAGGATTTCCAGGTGCCAAACCTGACCTTATCCAGCGCCTGGAACGAGGAGAAGACCCTTGGTTGCTGGATTCTCATGACTTGGAGAATTCCCACCTGAGCTCAGGTGAGGGGCCAACATTGTCTCTCTCTCTCACACACACACACACACACACACACACATTTTATATAAAATTTCTATAAATAAATTAATAAAATATTCATTGTGGGTGGGTGTTTCTCAAAAATATAGGATATAAACATTTTAAATGTATCACATCAGATGTAGCCTATAAACCCCAAACCTACCAGTGCTTGATTTTTATTGAAACTTTCAAAAAAGAAGATAAAAACTACTACAAACTAATTAGTTTGTATCCACCAGTGCTCGAATTATAAATATTTAAAGGAGAATAAGAGTGAGGGTGGAAGGAAATATTTAAGGCTTATGAGATGAAATAGAAGAGAGGAATTTGAAGGGAGGGGTTAACCTACCCCATTGGTTTGGTTATTTCAGTATTGCCCTATGGTTAATAGCTCAGTTTGAGAGATGTTCTGCTATTCTGCTATTCAGATCCAAAACTGAGAAGGGCGCTTTGGAGGGGTTGAGGGATCCTCACTGTACCTACTGGTCCCTTCTTAAAGAAATTGCTCCTTTTCCTGAGCTCATATGATAGACCCGCAGCCCCAGAAAAATAGACATTTGAGTTAAAGAAGTGATGAGATGTTGATCTTGTCTTACTCTTTCAGCCTCTCCTTAACTGAAAGGTATAGTTCTTTGGGGCCAGGCAGCTATCATGTAAATTAGAGAATGGTAGAACTTTAAGGAGTGTCCAGAAGTGTCTAACCTACATGTCCTCCAAAGCACCTTCTCAGCTTCAGAATTGAACAGCTGATCCATCATTGCTCAATGTCTCTCTTCAACCTGCTTCTTCAATGTTCTTTCCCATCCTACATAGTTTCTTTTTTCTCTTTATCTGAATAGATGAGAGGAGAGAAAAGCACATAAGCATTATTTGTGGAGAACATTTCATTTGGAAACAAAGCCTTGCCAAACACCAGCGAGTCGACACAAGAGGGAAACCCCATAAATGTTTGGAGTGTGGGAACGCTTTTTCTAAGAAATCAAAACTTGTGGTCCATCAGAGAGCCCACACAGGAGACAAACCATATAAATGCTTGCAATGTGGAAACTGTTTTGATTGGAAATCACGGTTTGTGGTCCACCAGAGAATCCACACTGGAGAGAAGCCATACAAATGCTTGGATTGTGGGAAGTGTTTTGCTTACAAATCAGGCTTCTTAAGGCACAAGAGAATCCACACGGGAGAGAAATCATATCAGTGTTTGGAGTGTGAAAGATGTTTTGCTCAGAAATCACAACTCTTAAGGCACCATAAAGTCCATACAAAAGAGAAACCATATAAATGCTTAGAGTGTGGGAAATGCTTTGCTGACAAATCAAGCTTTCGATACCACCAGGGGATCCACACAGGTGAGAATCCCTATAAATGTTTGGACTGTGGGAACTGTTTTGCTAAGAAATCCAAACTGGTGATCCATCAGAGAATCCACACAGGAGAGAAGCCGTATAAATGCTTGGACTGTGGGAACTGTTTTGCTCGGAACTCACAACTCATAAGGCATCAGAAAGTACACACCAAAGAAAAGCCTCATCAATGCCTGGAATGTGGAAAATGTTTTGCCGAGAAAGCAAAGCTCATGATCCACCAGAGAACCCACACAGGAGAAAAACCATTTCAATGTTTGGATTGTGAGAAGTGTTTTGCTTGCAAATCAAGCTTCCTAAGACATAAAAGAATCCACACCGGTGAGAAACTATATCAGTGTTTGGAGTGTGGAAAAGATTTTGCTCAGAAATCACAACTCATAAGGCATCAGAAAGTACACACCAAAGAAAAACCTTATCGGTGCTCAGAGTGTTCAAAGTGCTTTGCTGAGAAATCACAACTCCTAAGGCATCAGGAAGTACACACGGATGAGAAACCATATAAATGCTTGGAATGTGGAAAATATTTTGCCGAAAATTCACAACTTGTAAGACATCAGGAAGTCCATACAAAAGAGAAACCATATAAATGCTTGGAGTGTGAGAAATGTTTTGCTCGGAAATCAAAGTTCATAATCCACCAGAGAGTTCACACAGGAGAAAAACCATTTCGGTGCCCAGAGTGTGAGAAATGTTTTGCTTGCCCATCAAACTTAGTGACGCACCAGAGAATCCACACTGGGGAGAAGCCATACAAATGCTTGGATTGTGGGAAAGCTTTCACTCAAAAACCAAGCCTTGTGACTCACCAGAGAATCCATAGGGGAAGAAAACAGTTGTAATGCCTTCCTGAAAGAGGAAATGTGTCTTGTGAAAGAATCCACAAAAAGAGAAATGCTGTAAATAGGTCAACTGTAGGATATGTCTGCTTGTGACTCGTCTTTTGTAAGCTACTAGAGTCTGTACAGAGAATGAGGTCCACAGATGATTAGAATGCAAAAATCGGTTTATTTGGAAATTACAAATCTCGCAGCACCAGAAAGTACACATTAGATAGTTCTTGGAATGTTGAAATTATTTTGCCCGGCAATGTCTTTTATTTATTTATAGATATATAGATATATTTTATGCAGACAGATCATCTATATAGAAAAGAAAGATTTGTTTGTTGTCATGAAAATAGTGTTTGACATTATACATGAACAAAAAGCATTTCTTCATGAATTCTCAGCCTTATATATAATAAACATGTCATGCGAACATATATACACACACATCACGTTATTCTCTTTAGGGGTGAGCAACATTATGTAAAATGAGAAAAATTAAAGGCATGAGATGAGAAAATATAGCTAAATATAGGTTCAACCAGTGCCATACACTGTGGCTCTCCATTTGTACAAACCATCCTTGCTTTCACGTGTTCATATACTGTTTGATACGTTGCTTTTCATTATTTAAATTTCTCTTTTTTGAGAAACTCATCTTCCAACCACACTTTTCTGTTTTCCCTTTCTTTTCTTCATTCTTCCTTCATATTAAAATTATGTTCATATTCAATCCTTGGTCATTTTTTCTATATAGCCAAATCCCCTCGACATACCTTTTTCATACAGATCACTCGTTTTTGTATTCAGTTCACATCCATTCATCACTCATTCATTCTTGTCTCTCCTTGCTTACCGCACACATTTCTTAAGCGCCCCATCCCCACTCCACTCAGATTACTTCTGTTTCTCCTGATATATCCAATTATATATAACAAAGAGGGCAAAAGCATACACCTATACACAACAATTTTCATTTTTGTTGACAAATACTCATCCCTTGTAACTACTTACGACCCACTACTTTTCTACCAGTATTTGCACATCTTATTTATGTTTCCAATTTCTAGGCCACCAAACTGCAACAACTCTTAAAATTTTCCATCCATTTCTCCTTAGGTACATAAATTCATCAACTTGCTCTGTGTACAATTTGAAATTGTTCACTCCATTTGTCCTGTCCAGTACAACTACTTTGGACTTTGATACATATATTTTCAGATTCTTTCTCTTTGTTGCATCATTATCATCTAACATTTACTGTAGATCGTTTGGGTTTCCAGCCAATAATATGGCATTATCTACAAACCAAGGAACGTATATATTCACATTCCAAATCAGCACACCTGTCATCACCAGATGCATTCCTTATATATTTATCCATAAATTCATTAAACAACCAAGGGGATATTACACATCCTTGTCTTACTTCCTCTTCATTGCTAATCATTCTATTTCTTCCCACCTTTGCTTTCCTTCCATCAGACTGTTCTTACTGCATTCAGCAAGCAACATTCAACTCCATATTTGCGCAAAATATTCCTCAGTTCAAGGCTATTTGTTTTATCATATATCTTCTCTAAATCAACATACACAAACATTGTGTCTCAATGTCATACTTTTCTCAATCACCTGCAGAAAAGCAAAACTCTGATCTGCGCATTCCCTGCTCAGCAGAAAGCCACACTGCATCTACTGAATTTTGCTCAGTGTCCCTTCTGGTAATTTGAGCAGCGTCCTACCAAACATTTTTCTAGACAGACTTAGCAAATTAATCTGTCTTAGTTTTTGCATTCATTCTTGCTACCTTTTCTTTTGTTTAGGAGAATATTCTTTCAATTGTCAGATGCAGACGTACAACTTTACTGGGGTCAGTGATAGTCACATGTGACAGAAAGACACAAAACAACATAAAAAGCAATACAAGCCTTTTACAGGGTTATAAAATCCTAAAATTAAGATAATCATTTGCTGCATAGAGTAAGTTTACAACCCTTCTGGCGTCGCAATAAAGGTATACAACTGGGCACAGAAGCAGGTAGACCTACGCTTATCAGCATTCCATTTTTCAACACACAACATTTATGACTTTGTTTCATTTTTTCCGAATTAACTTTGATCTCATTTGTTTCAAATCCATCTTCAACATATCATTCATTTGCCAAGTCTGCAGACTTTTTGTTAGTTTCTGATTTCTTCTGCCTATCATGGCTTTAATTAATCAAGACTTTCACATAATGCTTGTTAGTAAGATAGAGAAAGTGTAGACTAGGTTACTGGCCTTAGTTGTATTGTACCATGTGCAACGTGGCCTGCTAATGATAAGGACAGTGCCATACATTTGGGCGCATTGTGGCCAGTAGGCCAGGAGTATGACACAAGCTCAGTTTACCAGAATTATGTTTAGGATACCTTGGCAAACTAAGATCTTTAGTCTAGATACTACTTTGCAAACCAATGCACTATTGCCTGTATTCCACCAACTAGATATAGCCACCATATGAATAATTTTCTAATTAAAATTGAAGCAATTGAACTCCTTCTCAGGTGCCTTCAAGTGACTGGAGGTGTTTTGAATCCCCTTTACAAGTACCCTCAACGCTGTCCACAGTTCCGTGTATTAGGTATGCTTACTTCTACACGGTTGATTTTTTTTAGCATTTCATTGATCTGCTAGTTACGTTGTGTTTGAATTGGCCTTCCAGGACTAGGTGACCATGTGTTTTGCTATATCTGGGCTTTCCAACATGACACCTGGTGAAAACATCCACAGGAAATGCATCCCCCGATGTGATGGAAGACATGGATGAGGAGGTTCAAGGTCAAGGGGAGAAGCATCTCCTCAGCCCATAGCCTGAGCATGTGAAAGCAAAGAGGATGAGACTGGCACCACCCTAAGGAATTCCTAGTGTTTAGTTGCAGACTTTGGGAATTAGAGTTAGTCTGGCGAGATTCTGTCTAGCAGGTGTAAGCTAATAAAGAACCTAAGCGATTCCAGAACCGTCTCATGGAGTTTCTTGGGCTGAACCTGACACCCAGGCTCCATGCAAAAAGAATGGGACAGCAACGTGCCGCACTCCAGGAATACCACACAGGCCCCATAAGGTTTCTTGGAAAAAGGAAAATGGATGGCTGATTGCAGTTGTGAATTTGCCCGGCTGCAAGGGCTAGCAGGGAACGCTACCTGGTGTCTGCCTTTTGCAACACCATACCTGCCCCCTGCCCCCAAGATGCAGGTAGCCCCAACTTTATTACTATTCTGGAAAGCCTTAAAAGCTTGGCTGATTTCTCTGAGGCGAGGGGAGTGTGAGGGGGGTTAAAGGGGCCACGGGATGGTGGTCACAGTTGTGAGTGTCGCTGTCCATGGTTGCCACTATATGTACATAATTGTGATTGGCTGTCTTTTAATTGACTTTTTAAATGTTGTTTGCCACCCAGAGTCACCGTTTGCAAGATGGGCAACCGTGTAAATTGACTGAAAGAAATAAATAAGCACATAAATATATAATAAACTTGCTTCCCTCCTCTAAATTATGCCAACTCTTTGGCTCAGTGTTTACCCAGCTTTAATACTGCGGCCCAGCTGACGGGTCACAAATGCTGATGGTGGGAACAGATGGATGCTCGTAGGGGCCGGCTGGCATGTCTGGTTGGGAACAGGACCCCAGTTGGAAGAAAAGCAGTGGGGGGCAGGGGGGTGTTCATTAGTCCACAACCACAACCTGCTGTGTGCAGCACTAGAGGGACAAAGATGATATTAAAGAGGACCCCAGGATGACTTTTCCAAACAAAGTTGGTGCAAAGATCCTTTCTGCTCTTCCCATTTGCATCCCTGATTCTTGGGTCATGATAAAACAGTGACAGGTGTAGTTTATTGCTGATTAGACTGATTGAGGGATATTTTTTATAATTTGGTTATTGTTTAGGGATGAGAAATGGGATGAAGAGGGCTTTTTTTCTGTAATATTAGAGAAGATGTTAAGTTACTGTTAACGCATATACTTGTTTGGAGGGAAGGGGAAGTTCGTTTTCTCTCTCTCTCTCTCTCTCTCTCCCCCTCCTCTTTCCTCTTTCTGTAAGTCTTGTAGTTGTGTGTGTGTGTGAAAAATAATAAAAATATTATTTTTTAAAAAAAGATAAAACAATGCCAGATGTAGCAAGAAGACACCTGCATAAGGAAATATTGTCAGAGCCCTGAATTACTTCTGACCCCCATTTTTCCCAGTAGCACAACCTGCACTAGCAATTTGTTTGTCTCAGGGCAGAAATCTCTTGAAAAAGGAGATTAACCCCCTCACTCTCTTCACTCCTCTCCATTCACAGTTGAAGTCATTCGGAAGAAATGCAGAGAGACACAGCCAGCTCTGAGGTTCCCCCCTCACTTGCCAGCCTTTTGGCTCTTCCCAGAGAGAAAACTCTTGGAGCCATTGGAAGCCAGATTCCCACTCCCCTGTGGACTGGACTTGAGCCCAGCCAGGGTGACCTTTAAGTGGGTAGTGACCTGTCCAGGTTGTCCACTGAGAAGAATGTATAGTGCAGCTCCAAGGAATTTTACAGGAGCTGAACCAAACCCTTCCACTATATTTACTTCTTAGACTCTGGAAGTAGAGCCTTCTGGGGTCCTTACAGTTGAATTGATTTCACAGCCTGGAAGAGCCAGCTAGCTTCACCTGATCAGCTGGGTCCAGAATCGGACAAAGGAGCCGCGTACCAATACCCACCCTTTGAACCACTCTGAGTTCAGAAGTTCAGGAGAACTTCTCCAACTCCAGGAAAACTGAGCAGGCCCAAACAAACAGCAATGCCAAAGCACGTATTTAAGGTAGAGGTACCCCTATCTTCCTTCCCTTCCAGCTGTTGGGGGTTCCATCTAACAATGACCTTCAAGAATCAGAACAGTGAAAAGCTGCAAAAGAAAGGGGATTCCTTTCCCCTCTCCTTGTCTGACTCTCTTCTGCTAGAAGCATTCTCCATTTCAGGCAAAAAGTTCTGCTCCTTAGCCTGTGTGTGAGTGAGTGCTACTTTTTTGTAAATTTGTCTCCTTTGCTGTGGCAGGGTGGTGGCAAAAGGTACCCCCACATTCACCTGATCTGCATTCCCCACCAACCCTAAAAGATTCCCCCCACATACATATGAACAGCTTAAAATGCCCTTTCACCAAAAGCTGAATGGACCCTGAGTGGCCAGAGGGGAAAGAATGAGACAGAAACCCATGGGCCAGTAAACCACATTCTTTATATTCACTGAGCATATCTCAAAGATAGTATAGCTGCCATGCTGACGTAGCAGGAAGGGATAAAGATTAAGAAGGTCACCCAGATGGGGTCATCAAAAGCACTCCAACGTCATGCTGTAATTTACACTGAGTCTGCCTCTCTCTTCATCTTTGTAATGCAGTGGGCCAAAGGTATATCATTTCTGGTTCTGCTTTTGCTCAGGGCTGCTCAGCAAGCTGCCAGGGCTTTGCTGGGAGTCTGGTGTACACCATATTCATATGCATGCCTAATACATTTATGTTGCATCTTCAAAGTGTTTTGGTAGATTTAGATGAGCCAGGTTTTGGCCACAACAGGCAGGAAGCCTCAAACATTCTAATTTTCTATATTGCTTCGGCGTTTCTCTTTTGGCCTTCCCCATCAGTAGCTGATCACAGTGCAAAGTGAATCACTCCTTGAAATCTCCCCCCCTGAACGCCTGCTTCATTTTTCTTCCATTGAAACATAGGAAATTCTCACAGATTATTAACTGCTTCGTATTGGATTGCCTGGGATGCCATGGCCTTCAAATATTCGTTGTGCTACATTCCGCATCGATTGTCCACTGCTTATTATTTGATGGCCCTGCATACCATTAATCTCAAACATTATTTAGCAAATTGCATGGATTGGTTAATTACAGTTTCACTGTGGATTTCTGGAATACATAAGGGTGCTGAGGACCTGTCATGTGGTCACCACAGAATTGATGCTGTGGAACGGCCCAGTTCATAATGGGAGCATCCTGAAGGAAGGGAAGGCCAAAGGGTATTCTGGTAAATCAGAGATTTTAAACTGTTCACCCCTGTAATGGCACTTGGGAATGACTTGGGGGGAGAGCTGCAGAAGGGACAACTGGGAGGTAAAAGATGTTTCAGCCTACAAAAGGAGGGAAGGTGTGGGAAACTTTTCAGAAGGGACCCTCTCTAGTTTTCTGGAGAGTAAAAGGAAAGGAGGGGAGAAATACTGTCAGTCTTGCAAGATCCTGTTAATATAACCTTACAATAAAGGTAGACCTTGCAGGGCTAATACCCCCCCCACCCCCATGGCAGTCATTTGGGGGATGGATAAACCGATAGATAGAGCCATAACCATCACTCCCAGCTGATGGGAGTGTTGCAGTGCTGTGTTGCAGCATTGAAATTCAAATCTGCCTACCAGCCCCTTAAAGTAGGGAGCTTTGTGCTGTCTTCAGAGGTATTGCTAACATATTTGTTCTGCCATTTCAGTTTCTCTGAGTTTCTGTAATTCAGTTTTAAATCTGCATTCCAGTTTAACCTCCTTATGTATGAATTTGGAAAGAGGTTTGCTGTCCCAGAGAGGGGAACTATATATGGAAAAAATAAGAGCCATTTGAACACAACAAATCATCTTGGGCATGGTTGTAATATCTAACCCATTAAGCATCAGTTCCTGAAACTGATCAGTTCCTTGTTTGCTCAAGCTGGTTTATCTTCTATGGATAAATAAAAGTGAAGTTGGTCTTTTGAGATAGGGTTGAAGAATCAGCTGGCTCTCACCTGCTGTGAAAGGAGTTTGGATCCATTTCGCAGATCAATGTAAGAAGTTAACATTTGTTAGGGAAAACAGCTGTTCAAATATGCTGTCTCTGAGCACTGAGTAAAAAAAAGATGTTAACTCAGATGAAAAGATTATAATCCCCAAATCTATTTGAGGGAGTTCCCTCTGACTGCAACGGCTGAATATTGAGAGCAGTTTTCCATTACTGTATTCTGAGGATCGAAAAAT